AGAATCTTTTTTCTTAGTGGCACTGTGCGTCATTTTTAGTTACAGTTTTGATGCTTTTTTTCTTTTTAATGTTTATATATTTATTTTGAGAGAGTGAGAGAGTGAGTGAACAGGGGAGAGGCAGAGAGGGAGACACAGAATCCCAAACTGGCTCCATGCTGCCAGCCTAGAGCCTGATATGGGGCTTCAACCCATGAACTGTGACATTGTGACCTGAGCCAAAATCAAGAGTCAGATGCTGGGGCGCTTGGGTGACTTGGTTTGTTGGGCATCTGACTTCAGCTCAGGTCATGATCTCACAGTCCATGAATTTGAGCCCCATGTTGGGCTCTGTGCTGACAGCTCAGAGCCTGGAGCCTGCTTCATATCCTCTGTCTCCCTCTCCCTCTGTCCCTTCCCTGCTCACACTATGTTTCTCTGTCTCTCAAAAAAAAAAAGAAAGAAAAAAGAAAAAGAGTTGGATGCTTAACTGACTAAGCCACCCAAGCGCCCCCATTTTTGATGCTTTTATGAATAAGCTCCTTTCTTGATTGTTTTTCTTGCTCCCTATATGTACGGAAGTATTACTGACCTTTTAAATATTGACTTTGCATCCAGCAACTTTTGTGACTTACTCATTCAAACAGCTCCTATGCCTAAAAATGTCCGCATACATTAGAAATGACATTTCAACTGTAGAGGGGGAAAAAAAAGATGGTTTAACGTTTTCTTCTCCAGTGTTTGGCCTTTCTCTGTTTTGCTGGCCCGGATTTTCAGGGGAGTGTGGGCTACAAACCGTGGTGGCAGGCGCCCCTGTCTCCTTCCCTTTCCAAGGAAACACTCTTTCTCTCCATCTGGCTGTTATAACGTGTGCCGTGCATTCTTTGTTGGAGACCCATTCAGGGTAAAGAAGCCGCGTCTATTCTTTGGTGGCTACGAGTTGTTCAGTTTTGTTTGGTTTGTTGTTTAAAATTATGAATGGGTGTTGAACTTCATCAACTACATTTTCTGCAGCCATTGAGATGATCATATAGTTTTGTCCTTTGTAGGATAGTGTGGTCAGTTCCAAAGTCGGACTTTGGAACAGTAAAACAGTTCACAGTGCAGGTGTAAGTGCAGCTTGATCTAGCTGCGCGCTGTTAGGTTCATCCTGAAATACATCTTTTGTATTTTCACCTTCTGTCCCCTTCCTTTTTCACACTGTGCGTGTTTAACTCGGTGTCTGTCACAGTGATGCTGGCCCCACCAGGTTGACGTGAGGGCCTGCTCTCTCTTTTTCTGTTCTTTGGAAGAGTCGTATAAATTGAAAGTCTTTCTCCCTAGAGTGTGAGCTGACGGTAAAGCTGCCTGGGTCTAGGATGTTTTTCGGTGGAAAAATCTGACTGTCGCCTCAGTTACCTTCAAGGCTGTCACACTCTGCAGGCATTCCCTGAATATTCTACAGAGATGGTTGTTGTTAGCTGTGTTCCAGGGTTTTGTTCATTTAATTTAAATTTTCTAACGGTGTGGCCTAATGTTATGCGGAATGACTTCCGACTTGCTTTTTTGGTGTCTGCGCGATCTGTGGCAGCGTCTTTGTCATTTCTGAAAATGGAATGTCGTCGTTCTTTGTGCCTTTTCTCCACTTCGATACGTTTTTCCAGAGGTTGGTCATTATGGAGCTTTTAGAAGAGTCACGTTGTGGATTTCCTGATATTCTCTCTTTATGATTGCTGTCAATTTTAATAATCTCTTGCTCTTAATCTTTATTTTCTTCGTTCCCTGTTTTGGGATATTTTAATTATCCTTTTTGTAATTTCTTGAAGCAGGTGGTCATTGATTTTTGTCGTTCTTTCCCAAAATACACATTTTAAAGCTTTAAGTTTCCCTCTTGGTACTGTGTTAGCTGCATTGAGAAGCTTTGGGTTGAGGTATTTTTGTTAACATTTAGTTTGAAATACTGTATTTCTAATTTCCCCCCAAATACTCGCACATAGGCATAATGGCGATATAGTGAGTGAGCACCACCTGTATGCAGTGTAGTGAGTGAGCACCACCTGTATGTCAGTCTTTAAAAATACACTGAGAGTTGTCTTTCTGCAGCACCTGGTGAGGTGGTGTTTGGCGGCCTGTCCTTGGGAAGGCTGTTTACTCCGCAGTTGAAAACCATTTTTACTTTTCACCGATCAGCTTCGTGTATAAGCAAGCGGGTGCTCGGATAAGCATGAGATAACCGTATTGGGCTGATATAGTCACAGGAATAAGTCCAGAATTGTGATACTTTATAATTAATTGTGTGACTTTGGTCAGGTTCCTTATAACCGCCGTGGGTCTTGGGCCCCCATGCTCTGTAAGGAGGATGAAGGCACCTGACTGGGGAGTAGCATTCTCCACACAGGAGTACAGTAGGTATTCTAATAAGTGAGCGCGCATACAGTAGGCACTCAGGGTGTCTGTTTAGAGTCTCTGACCTCAGGAACAAACATGTGTTTTCATGGAACATTTGGAAACCTGACATTTTAAACCAGTTCTTACCGAGTCCGTACTGTGTGCTGGTAACGCGGGTGTGGCCTGATGGGCCTCTTCTGCATCCTCTCCTGCACGCTCATCGGAGTTAGCGGTCGCCGCGTCATCCTTACCATCGACAGAACAGGGACTGTCCCCACGTTACGGTGGGGAACGTGTACCTCTCACATTCACATCCCGTGCACACATCACACTGAGCTGGGAATTGATCAGGTCTGTTTTTCCCCACAGTTCTGTAGTCCTGTTGTTCTTCTTTCCTTCAGGTAGACTATTTTTTAGAGCCATTTCGGGTTCACGGCAAAATCGAGAAGGTGCAGAGATTTCTCATGTGTCTCCCGCCCCTGCACAGCCTCCTCCACAGTTAGCATGTGGCACCAAAGTGACCACTGCTCTTGAGCTACAGGCTTGAAGTGCACGGCTCCTCGTGTGCGCATACGGGTTTTCACCCAACAGCACTGTAAATGTATTTTCTCTTCCCCACAAGTTTCTTAGTATTTTCTTTTCTCTGGCTTTATTTATTCTAAGGATACACTATGTGAAACAAATAATGTACAAAATGTGTGTTAATCAGCTACTTCTGTTACTGAGAAATCTTCTGGTTAGCAGTAGCTTATTTATTCATAGTTAAGTTTTGGGGGCGTCAGAGGCCATATGTTGATTTTTGACCGTGGGGAGGGTCAGTTCCCCGAACCCCCACATGGTCAAGGGTGTCTGTAACGCATTTGTTATGTTATCACCCACAGTGTGCTGTTTACATTATGGTTCATTCTTGGTGTTTTACATTTTATGGGTTTGGACAAAGTATACGTGGTGAGCTGTCTTCACCATTAGAGTATCGTACAGAGTAGTTTCACTGCCCAAAAGTCCTCTGGGCTCTGCTTCCTCACTGCCCCTGCCCTGACCCCAGGCAGCCACACGTCTTTTCACGGTCTCCATAGCTTTGCCTTCCCCAGGCTGTCATAGCTGGAAGGCTGCAGTACGCGGCCTTTGCACTTGGCAGGCAATGCGACTTCCCTCCGTGCGTGTTCATGATTTGATAGCTCACTTCTTTTCAGTGCTGAGCAATACTTCCTTGTCTGCGTGGACTGCAGTTCATTTATCTAGTCCCTGGCGGAAGGACACTTTGGTTGCTTTCATCTGGCAATTATGAGTAAAGCTGCTGTAAACATTAACGTGCAGGGTTTTTTGTGGACCTAAGTTGTCAGTTACTTTGGGTAAATACCAAGGATTGTGATTGTTGGATTGTATGTTAAGAGTGTGTGTAGTCTGGGGCGCCTGGGTGGCTTAGTCGGTTAAGCGTCCGACTTTCTCTTAGATCTTGCGGTTTGTGGGTTCGAGCCCCACGTCGGACTCTGTGCTGACTGCCAGCTCAGAGCCTGGAGCCTGTTTCAGTCTGTGACTCCCTCTCTCTCTGACCCTCCCCTGCTCACGCTGTCTCTCTCTTTCTCTCTCTCCTAGAAATAAATAAAACATTAAAAAAAATTAAAAAAAAAAAAGTGTGTGTAGTTTTGTAAGAAACTGAGCCGTCCTGCACAGCGGCTGCAGCGGTCCGCGCCCCCCCAGCCGTGCACAAGCGCTCCTGTTGCTCGACATCTGTGTCAGCACCGTGTGTTGTCAGTGTTGTGCATTTTGTCCGGTGTTCTCTAGTTTTATCTGGTGAAGTAGTCTGAGTATGTCAACTAGCTTGTTACTAAATGCTATCAAAATCTTTCACATAGACTAACTTTTTGTCTGCTTGTTTTATAAGTTACCAAGAAAGTTATCTTACTACTGGAAAGTTTAATTGTATTTTTTTTCTTTCTTTTGGGTTTTTGTCAGTTCTTCTTTTATTTATATATATATTTGAGGCAATATCATTTACGATTGCAACTTACAATTGTTATATCTTTCTGATATGTCTTTCTTTTTAAAGTTTACTTTCTTTCCTTCAGTAATCTCTACATCCAACGTGGGGCTCCTTCTCACAACCTTGAGACTCAGGGCTGAATGCTACACCGACTGAGCCGGCCGGGTGCTCCCGAAATGATAATGCGCTTTGCCTTAATGTTTCTTACATCTCATTTTAAGGGGTGTATGACTTCCTTTTTAGGCTGGTATTTGCCTAGTATAGACTTTTGCTTTTTGACTTGCAATATTTCTGTAGTATTATGTTTTAGATGTTTAAGTAGCATTAAGTTAGATTTTTAAAAAATCTAGTCAAAGAGTAATTCTCTTAATTGGAGCTCATTGTCCAGTGCTATTTAATGTAAATTAGAGCTACATTGGGTTGACATTTACAGATTTTTTTTTTTTTTGAAAGAAGTTAGTTAATTTTGTATGGAGCACATTGCTTTGGAAAGGCACTTTACCATTAACGTCACGCCCAGAATTTCATCGCAGTGAGGGACTTGCAGAGTTAAAAGAAGCAAACAGAAACTCCACGTTTAATAATGTGGAATGGTTTCTATTAAGATATGTTTGTTCGGTATGTTAAAAAATTTTTAAATTGTCTCTTTTTTACTTTTATAAATCGCCAGCATTTCGCTGTGGCCTGCAGTTTCTGGGCAACGTCGCCTCACGGAATGAAGATTCACAGTCCGTCGTGTGGGCACACGCTTTCCCGGAGCTCTTTCTGTGAGTGTTTTCATAAAAGTGTCTCTGACTTCTGGAAAGACTGGTTATAGCATTCCATTTACATGAAGTTCAATAACAGGGAAAACGAACCCTCGGTCACAGAATTGAGGGTAGTGGTGGCTGGTGGTGGGCGGTGGCAGGGTCGGTTCCGGCCGGGAGAGGGTGTGAGGGAGTCTCCTGGGCTTCTGGGAATGTTCTGTGTCTCCATCGGGGTGGGAGTGGTGGAGCTATAGCCACGTCAAATGATTTATTGGGCCGTATGCTTAAGATTTATGCCCTTTTTTGTATGTCAGCTGTATTTTAAGAAAATTAAAGTTTTGATTAAATATTGTTAAGTTCACAGTGACTTATAGGAAAACAAATTCATAAGAAAAAACTATAAAACACTGAAGTATGAGCAGTAAATTGGTCACATAATTTATTTATGGAGCCCTTGTCGTGTGCCCAGCACAGGGCTGCTGGGCAGATCTGGAGAGCGGTAAGGTGTACACAGCCGGTAGGTTTGTCTAGGTTGGTTTGTTGTACTATTTTGTTTTGACCAACTTCTGTTAGTTCACATGAAATTGAGCATTGGGATAGAAGATGAGCGGTAATGGAGGCAAGGAGGCAATGGGAGGCGTTAATCCAGGCTCCGTGGCCAACGTGGGGCGTCCGTGGCTGTGGTGGCAGCAAAGCGGCCGAGCGGTGGCTCTGTGTGCTCCGGGCCAGGTATCCCTCCCGTGCCTGTGATTCCTGTCCTGACAGCGGCCCTGCGGGGCCAGGCGAGGGGCTGACGCCCACTGCTGGTCGAGGGCAGAGCTGCTCTCTGGATCCAAAGGCTGCTTCTGCCGCCTACACGCTGTGCGGCCTTCCCGGTTGTAAGGTTTTCTGGGCTGACGTGGGAAGTGTGATGTTCAGATCACATACACTCGAACGTTATCCCTGGGTCGCTGAGTTGGTAGCTGGCTCTCAAGTTTCTCCAAATAATGAGAGTCGAAGGCACAAAATCTTTATGATTCATGATAGTTGAGCTTAGGAGGAAGGAAAGAATTATGGAATTTGAGCTACAGAAATAGAAATTACTCATTCTTGAGATTTCGTTCCTGTAAAACATTTTGAACACCTAATATCTGTGAGGTTCTGAGCTAGGTTAAGTGGAATATGGTTAATTTAGATCTATTTGTTACTCCCCAAAAACCCATGCTTTGGGTGGAACAGGTGAGCACACGGCAGTGGAAGAACGGACACAGGGCAAATCCATACATCACAGAATCCCAGGGGAGAGGCCCCTGCACGGGCTGTTGAGAAGCCGTGACCATTTACGCTGTGGTTTTGCTTATGGTCTCAGATCCGCTCCTCGCGGACGCCTGTGAGATGGGCTCAGGAGCTCGTTGCATTCCCTTTTTCTATCAGAAGACACACTGAAAGACGTAATTTGACTGCAGTCTGCATGTGTTTGTGAGGCAAATATTTAACCAAATTAGAATCCCAGCTTTGGGAGGTACTGGCCTTATGCCCTTGGACAAGTAGAGTCAACACGCTGTTGTGTTGTGTATAGTATGAGGACAGTACCTCCTCCGGAAGAGTATTATGAAGTTTAACTTAAAAAAAAATCCTGCCATAGTGCACAGCCCATGACGTAATTGACCGTCGGTAAATCAGGGGCCTTCCTGACAAAGACCGTGTAGCTGGGGCTCTTGCCTCCTCTCTCCCGCCAGTGAACCCTCTTTCTGTCGTTCCTGAACTCTCCGGCCCTCGGAACGGTTGAAGGAGTGCCTGTAGTTAATGGGGTCTCATGTTTTACCTTTTGATTTTTTTTTTCTAACAAGAGTGAACATGTTAATGCTTTATAAATGCAATCATGTATCTTTTTCTTTAATCAGATGGTATTTGCTTTTAAATGCCTTCGAGTCCTAAAGTCAGCTGCATCTTTAATATTGGCTACTTTGGGTCACGACTAATTTTATATTGCTCTTTTTATAGTAAATAAGGTACTTGTTTCAAAGTGTTGTCATTTATTAAATCCTTAAAAACATCAGTTTGCTAAATGGGGCTAACGCCCTCATGTCTTTGTTCGGAAGGTCTTGCTTAAATCATCCAGACAAAAAAATTGTTGCCTACTCGTCAATGATTTTGTTCACATCCCTGAACTCTGAAAGAATGAAAGAACTGGAAGAAAACCTGAACATCGCGATTGACGTTGTCGATGCTCACCAGAAGCAGCCCGAGTCGGAATGGCCGTAAGTCTCTCGTTAGACATCTGCTTGCTTAAGAGCATCATAACAGACCCTTTCCTTGCAGAGCAAGTAAGAGTTTGAATTCCAGTAATTGAACAGCAAGTGAACACTAAACATGTGCGGATAGAATCTCTCAGCCGCACCTGGGGGCTGGGGAAGGTGGATGGAGGTGCGGGTCAGGGTACAGCCTGAGAACACACAGCCCTTGTGGGGGCGGCCAGATCACATTGCCGTGGCTGCACTTGATGGTTCGTTAAGGATCAGACATTGATACGTGTCTCGTGGGCCTGTGTTCCTCTGAGACATTCACTGTCATCTGAGCTGTAGTGTCCGTCCGTTCCCCGGCCCCATATGTAACGCCTCCTTTCCCTCTGCTTGCTTTTCAAGATTTTTCTTTGCCTTTTCAGGAGCTTAATTATGATGTCCTGGTGTGGATTTCTTTGAGTATGTCCTCTTTGAGTTCCCTCGACTTCTTGAATCTGTCGGTTTATGTTGCCACATTTGGGGAGTTTCCACCCATTATTTGTTTGAACGCTTTTTGGCCCCACGTTCTTTCCCCTCTCGTGTGGGGACTCCGTGTCAGGCCACAGAAGGCCACGGCTGAGGCTGACTGTGATCTGTAAAGACTCAAGAAGGCACTGTTAGATTTAGACAGTTTGTTATTCTGTGGACAGGGAAAGGGGAAGCCGTGATCCCATCGTCCCACGTGCCGAAAAGGGGCTGGATGACTGGGGTGACCATTGCGGGTGGCGCATTGCTTGAAGCGGTTTTATATTCTGAGGGGCTGCGCAGACTGCTCTGTATCTCATCAGGACAGGTCTCACGGCCTCCATGGCATCAGGCCTGCCATCCCTGAGCTGGGGGAGGATTACGGGGTGTCGGGCTTTTGTCCGCGTGGCCTGGGTGCACGTGTGGGAAGGAGGCCGTCAGAGCAGTCCCGGCCCTGCTGACTCCAACCTTCGTCTTCTGTTGTCGGTCTACAGCCCCCTGAGGCTCTGATCAGGCTTTGCGTGGGTTTTGTTCATGTCTCCTGCATTCTGTTTTCTCTTTTAAGCCAGTATCTCACTATTTTGGTGACTGTAGCGTTGTGTACATTTTAAATCAGAAACTCTTAAGTCTTCCAACTTCATTAGGTTTTTTTTTTTGAGATTTTTTGGGCTGTTCTGGGTCCTTGTGTTATAGATTAATTTTTAGATTGGCCTTTTAGCTTGTTCAGAAAAGCAGCTAGAGTTTTGGTAGTGATTACATGCATGTGCAGATCAGCTTGAGGAATGTTACCATTTGAACTAGATTAAGTTTTCCAGTCCGTGTGTAGGTATCTCTCCATTTACTTAGGCCTTATTAATTTCTTCAGTGAAGTTCTTTTTTTTTCTTTTATCAGTTTTATTTGTTTTTGAGAGACAGAGCAAGCAGGGGTGGGGCAGAGAGAGAGAGAGAGACACAGACACACACACACACACACACACACGCACAGAGAACCTGAAGCAGGCTCCAGGCTCTGAGCTGTCAGCACAGAGCCTGATGCAGGGCTCAAACTCATGGACCAAGAGATCATGACCTGAGCTGATGTCAAATGCTTAACTGACTGAGCCCCCCAGGCGCCCAGGACCTTGTGTTTCTTGGTGGTCTTCCGTCCACCTGTTGACACATTCATGGAAGTGGACTGTTTTCTGTCTGACCAGTCAGCCCTGTCGGTTTTTGTGTCCCTCATTTTCAGGCTCTGCTGTTATGTCTGTTTGTAATTGTTATGTCTTGAGGAGATGGCCCTTTCTTTCATCATTGTAGAATCCATCAGAAATTCTCTTGCTTTTAGTCATGTTCTCTTGTTTTCCTTAAGATCTGTTTTTGTGTGTGTTTGCATGTAGTGGCCAGTGAGGTCAGGGCACAGCCTGCGTCCAGGTGGGGGGTGGAGGCTGGAGCTGCCAGTCACGCCACTCCCATTTTATTTTTTTATTTTTAAAAGTTTTTTATTTTTTTAATGTTTTTATTTAATTTTGAGTGAGTGCAAGCAGGGGAGGGGTAGAGAGAAAGGGCAGAGGAACCGAAGAGGGCTCCGCGCTGACAGCAGCGGGCCCCATGTAGGGCTTGAACCCATGAACCACGAGGTCACGATCTGAGTTGAAGGCAGATACTCAACCGACTGAGCCACTCAACCGACTGTGCCACTTGCATTTCAGAGGCACTTTCTCAGTTTGGGTCTCATTCAGTGTGGACTTCAGTGTTCTTCTGAAATTATGCCTCATTTAAAAATTATTTAGTTTTCCAGACATTCATTTGTATTTGAATTAAACCCATTTGCACACAGACACAAGTTGGTGCGTGAGGATAGCAGGACACTGTGCTGGACTTAGGTTCCCTCCCTCCACGCACAGTTGTGTCATAATGGAGCGCAGCGGGGGAGTCATTAGAGGCTGCGGACTCAGCACAGTTTTCTCTAGTAGGTCTGTGTCATTTGTGAAGTACCTTACATCTATGTTTTGGCCATCGGCAGTTTTCTAGCAGCAGGGAGTCCGGGGCAAAAGATGTAGTCTGCCGCGGGACTGCGAGTCCTCACAGGTCACCAGATGGAAGCGACCGGGAGGGAGGACCGAAAGCAGCGGTCACAACTGAGGTCTTCGGCTGTGCTGCACCGACAGTTAGATCTGTGTCAGAGGAGCCGTGCGTTCGCCAACAAGAATGGGATTGCAGACTACAGGCATGCTTCAGAGGTCCTGGAGGTTTGCTTCCAGAGACCAGTGAGATAGAGCGAGTGTTGGAATAAAAAGAGGTGAAATTTTTGGGTTCCCAGTGCTTATAAATGAAATGCTGGGGTGCCTGGGGGCTCAGTTGGTGAAATGTCTGACTTCGGCTCACGTCATGATCTCACAGTTCGTGGGGCTGAGTCCTGCATCAGGCTCTGTGCGGACAGCTCGGAGCCGAGAGGCTGCTTCGGATTTTGTGTCTCCCTCTCTCTCTGTCCCTCCCCACTTGTGCTCTGTATCTCTCTCTCTCTCAAAAATAAATAAACATTAAAAAAATAAAAAGCAATATTTACACTGTAGGATAATTTACTAAGTGTGCAATAGCATTAGCTCTTAAAAAAACAGTGTGTGTACTTTAAGTAAAAACACTTTATTGCTGGAAAATGATAATCATCCTCTGAGCTTTCTGTGAAGAGTAATCACTGGTCACAGAGCATCGTGACAAATATAATAACAAGTTTGAAATACTGCAAGAATTCCCAGCATGTGACCAGAGACACAAAGTGAACAAATGTTAGAGAGGTGGCCCTGGCAGACTTGCTGGGCGCCCGCCATAGGCCTTCTGTTTGTGAAAAGTGCGTTACCTGCGAAGCACAGTGAAGTGAGAAGCAGTTAACTGAGCTGTCCCAGCTTCCGGAGCCTTCCAACAATATTGTTACTTTTTACTGTTAGATATGAACCCATGTCTGAAAACGAGAGAGCTCCCACTCTGTGCCTTCCCACCTGCTAACCCAGTGGGAGCGCTGGCGGGGAGTACACAGCAAAACAGTGTTAGAATTCACAGGTTTGGTTATCTTTTCTTGGAAAGGGACAAATGTAAGGTTTCAGTAACTGAATCCTTTGGATTGGGTGCACCAGAGACGTGGGGCAGTGTGGGCGCCAAGGGCTCTGGTGTGACTCAGCTTGAGTTACTGGGATCGTGTCCTGAAAATGTTCACTTCTGTTGTATGTAGGTATGAAGGACATTTTCCGGCTCTAAGATGACCCCGGCTGAATCCAGCCGTTCGGTCTTGGTGTTTGGACTCCTCTAAATCCTACAGCCAGAGAAGGTGCCTTAGGAGGCCCCGGCTGCTGTAATTATCTTTTGCAGAGGTTATAACTCATTTGTGTTCTAGTAGAATTTTTTGCCTTAATGAAGATGTCATTTACTTGTCAGACAGAAGAAAGTTCCTTTCTATACTAGCCTGGTGAGCCTTGTACAGATTGCTGTAGGAAGCAGCTGTGGGTGGGATTTCCCCGGCCTCAGGAGCAAGTAGGAGCATTCTTTTCTGGAGCATGTTTAAATCAGATTCTTCATTTAGTCAGTGCGGTATGATGCATTTTCTAGGTTTTCACAGTCACTGAAATATTTTTATTTGTAAATATCGCTTCCACATTGTGTGTTTCTATGGAAATGGAAATAATATGTGGCCCTCATTTGAAAAAGATTTCCCTAAAACCTTAACTTTAGGAATAACTTCATTTGTCAATGTTACACTGATCTATGTCTTTTTTTTTAAGTTTATTTATTTATTATTTTGAGAGAGAGAGACCAAACAGGGGAGGGGCAGAGAGAGAGAGAGAGAGAGATAGAGAATCCCAAGCAGGCCCCGCGCTGTCAGCGTGGAGCCCAAGGATGGGATTGAACTCACAAACCTTGAGATCATGACCTGAGCCAAGATCAAGAGTTGGACACTTAACTAATGGAGCCACCCAAGCGCCCTTGTCTTTTTTTTTTTCTTTAATGTATGCTTCTTGATGCTTAGAGATGGCTTTTAGCGACTTCTGTGTGCAATAGGAACACTGCCTTGTAGATGATCATGAATCTGTCTATAACTGTTCACATACCTCAGCACCATTTGTAAATGAGGAAGATCAAGAGAAAGTAGGAGAGGGAAAGAAGGACTTTTATGCATCTGGGTTTTTAGCCAGGATGGAAAATGATGCAAATATGTGGTCAGTGCTTTGACATCGACAGCTTGACTTGTGAATGTTAGCTTTTCTGTAATCGCATTTCAGTGATGAATTTCAAGATTGGGCTGAGGCTTCTGCCTCTGACGGCCTGCGTGAGTCAGTCTTGGCACCAGAAACAGAAAGCAGTGGGTGAAGTGGCTGGCCTGGGACCCTCGTGTGCGCGAGGAAGACGTTTGGCTTGTGTGTCCCTGCGTACAGTTCAGGACTGGCCCAAGTATCGCATTTCTCACTTTCTCTTTTTGTAAAATCTGTTTCTCTGATGCCTTTTCTACTCCAACTTCTGCCTTTGTAGAATATATTTTTGGCCCT